TTAACCTCTTCACTGTTATTAAATTCATCTTGCATGCATATTTCTTTGAAAACATTAATCTCAATTCCTTCTTTGCTTCTACCCTTAATTATCCCTATGGGCTATGGTATTCCTCCTTGAAGCATTTTGACAATCAAGACCACTTTTTTATTAATTACATGATTTTTTTTACAATAACAATATCTCAAAAATGGGTCTTTCAAAGCTCAATCTGTCATGAACCCTTATATGTGTTGGTTCTCCTCTTGATCTCCTTCTCCAATTCTTCCATTCCTCCCACTTCTTCCACTTCCTACACCATAAAAAACACAACAAATAATTTACCTTAACCCAGTAAAAATAGAAAGTAAAGAATAGATTCTCTCTACCTTTGGTCCTAGAAACAGCCCATATGGTACACCGTTGAATTTATCTGAGTGGTGGAGCTGAAACCAACCATCAAATACAAACAAAAACTACGGCCATCAGACATTGTCACAGAAAAATTCCAAAAGAAGAAGATTAAAAAATGAAAAGCAGAAATAATTTTTGCAATGCCACTTACACCGGAGTACGAAATCCAAACACGTGATTTTGGCCCATCTAAAAATCATTATGTTACGTTGTTCTCTAATGCACCATAGATTGCAAAAACCATTCTCAAAAAATATTGGAAGCTAAGATCAACTTCACAATTTAAATTAAAAAAATGATTTAGTAATAATTTTTTTAATTATTATTTTTTTATGTGTCATTTAAATAATTAATTTTTTATTTATTTAAAATTCATAACATTAAATATATACATTTAATGACATGTAAAGATTTTATAAAATATTAATATAAAAAATTTTCTTATATCACCGTCTATTCAAATTATATCATATTCTATTACATGAATTATTAAATAGAACAAACCACTCAATATTAAAAATTATTTTTTATTAATAATTTTTATTTTATTATTCAACTTATGAAACATGAGATTTATTTATTTAAGTTATAAAGGAAAATAATAAGTGACCTGGTGAGCGGCAGCAACTCGTCGGAAATAAGGCACGTTGGCGATAGGTCCCACCGGGAATCTTCTGTGCACGAGGCCGTCGTGGACAAACATATACGCCATACCAAACACCGTAATTCCCAGTCCCTGGTTCTCAGTCAACGTGTAATATTAGAGAAAGCGCAGGGGTATTTTAGACAACAAGAAAAATTCTAATCACCCAGCAGTTAATTACTATTAAACCGTTAATGAAGGTCCAACAACGTGATTACGAAAATATGGAGTGAAGAAAGTAAGAAACAGACTTACGGCACCAAAACAGAGACCGGGGAAGAGACCTTTGTTGAAGAAGCCGTAGGAGAGCAGAGCAATGGCCGGAACGGCGTTGATGATGGCGAAAACGTCGTTCAGTTCGAACGGACCTTCTCTGGGGCGATGGTGAGACTGGAAAATCGGAATTTCAAATTTTAGTCCGATCGAGATTATGAGAGCTGTTTGGTTGCCGAGAAAATTTTTAAAAAAAATGGAGAATATAACATATTACCTCGTGCATATGCCATAAGGAAGCATGCCACAGAGCTTTATGAGCCCATCTCGCCCAGAATTCCATACCCACCTAAAAATTCAAAGAACCCACTTCGATTCAATGCCCAAATTGTACAAAAAAATGTGAAGAGATGATAAAGAGAACGGAATTGAACTTACAGCAGCCCCGACGGATAAAGAAAATGTACCAAACATTTCTGAGAGAGGTACCTCTCCACCCTTTTAAAACGAAAGAGAATCCGATTCAAAATTTTGAAGTGTTATTGAAATAAGGAAACAAAGAGGGGAGGGAAGAGAAGATTGATACCTCCATTTGCCAGGAAAACCTGTAGTAAACAGCCATAATGGCCATGGAAGTGATACCAAAACTGGACATCACAGCGGCGACGAGGTAAGTAAACCTTTCGGATCTCTTCCGTGCCAGCTTCTCCGCCACATGTGGCGGCATCAAGATCTGGGCATCCTTAACACCGTCAGATCCTTCCTCCGGGATGGTTTCGATTTGGGGATTCTGTTCCTCCACGACGAAACAAACAGCGAATCTGGAATTTTTCTGAGTTCGTAACACATTTCTGTGGTGGGGAAAAGAAGAGAGCAGACCTACGGGTTTAGTGTTGAGGTGTGGGGCGTGGAACCAGCGGATGGGTTTAGCGGTTATGGCGAAGGAGAGGCCTGCGGCCATGGGGACCGGGTGGTGGTGGTGACGGCAAAAACTGAAACAGAGAATGGGGGGAAGTGGTGTGGAGTATTCAGTTGTGCTGGTGAACTGATCTGTTGTTTTGGGTTTCTGGGGTTTGGACTCGTTGGAATGGGGGAAGTTAAATGCACGGAGACCACACTTTTCACTAATGAATAAAAAATTCTTAAATTGGCAATACATAAAGACATGGCGTTAAAATAGAACCCTTTTTCCTCTCTTAATTACAAAAGTGCCCCGCATTAAAACATGAAGCCAAAAAAGGGCGTTAGAAGCATTATTAAGTGCTAGCTCCGAGGACCTTTTTTT